CAAGTGAACTTCACACACACACACACACACACACACACACACACACACACACACACACACACACATAAAAGCTATTTTTCTTATAAGTTGACCAAATTTTTAAAAAAGTTTCAATTAGAACAAACATATAACTTCAACTGTTTCGAAACGGATGGATTACTTCCCACTTCGACTCTTCCATTGATGTCATAATCTCCCCCTTTGTGTACCGAAACAAGGCATCAACACCTGACTCCTCCTTCTAAGAAGATCATCGGACTATGTCTGTCACGGCGCATGGTATATAATTGTTGTTTGGGTAAAAGCAACAGCCGTGGAAAAGCACAATGTAATTTCCATTTAGGGAGAGAGCGTTATTTAGATCATAAAATAGTATTACTACAATGTTGATGAGACCAAACTGTTCTAGTGCAGAAAACACTAGACATGGATCCATGAAGAGAGACCACTCGAACAATATGGTACATACATGCGATGGTGGTAAAAAAAAATCCTCATACATTTTTGTCCTTTCGGTGTCCCTTCTCAATACTGCTGAAGATATCTCCCGACGACCATGGACAACTGCGTTTGGTGTCGTCGGGGCAAAAAAAAAAAAACTTAGCCCAGTCTCAACGAATGACTAACTCTACCATACCTTAGATGTCCACATAGCACCACAATGTCCAAGGCATGCATTTGAGGTGACTCACATGTTGGTGGATGAGGCGAGACCAGTCCCTTCCATCACCACTCGCGCCTCTTCTACGTCATGGTCAGCCGTCTTCCTATTGTGCCACTAGATGTCTTGTATCCCGTGGTCATATTGCAACTGATACAAAGCCACATCTGATCTACCCTCTAGATAAAGTGATGACATGTTTCTACTTTGGTGTCGATAACATAAACCCTGACTATAACCCTCAATTTGAACCCTTAATTGTAATTGTGGCTGGAGTGGCGACATCAACACTTAGTTGTAGCATTACCACAAACAAAAAAAAACACCCAGGGAAGTATAGAACACAGTCGACATGAACCACCCAACCACATAAAAAAATACAAGAGCAAAACCACCCAAGGAAGTATAGATAAAGCGAGTTTTTTTTATTTCTGGTGTTATGAAAAAAAGACACATTGCAGGTTTATATATTGGACCCTGTTAAGTGCCACATGTGTGGCATGAACACATGGCAACTCCAAACATTTTTTATGACAAGTTTAGTGACACAAGGATGGCAACTTTCATTTCGAATGACAAGTTTCAGTTTTTTTGGATTTACTTTTTTCTTTTAGGATGGCAACTTTAGTTGTAAAAAATAGGCAGGGCGAGATTGTTTCATGCCACACATGTGTCACCTATCATTTGAGTATTTTTTTGTTATTTCGGATGTTCATTGTACTGCCATGATAAACAACGAATAGATCAGAAAAAAATCCCCTATAAAAAAGATAGGAATTTTTTTTCTGAAAATTAAAAATGGAATAGAAAAAAAAAAGCCGTCCGTCTTGGCCACGGACGGGGATGTAGTCCTGTCGTCAACGCCGGCAAGCACGATGCCGGAAGAGGAGAACTAGTCTCTTTTTTTTTTGAGAAAAGGAGAACTAGTCCACCACGCACAAAAGTACATTGAAACGCCGGTACACCCGGGCCGGGCTGTTCCTCTACCCGTGCTCGCGAAGCCCATTAGTTTAGGCCCACCTCGAATAGGGTTTAAGCTTCCCCGGTCCCGCAGCTTCCACGAATCCCCCGTCCGATTCAACAGGCAAAACCCCCCTCACGCTCACGCGATGGGAGTCGCCGCCTCCGCCGCCGCTCCTCCCCCGGAGGCCGCCGCGCCCGCCGATCCACCGGCCAAAGAAGATATCGAGCATGGCTCCGCCGCGTCCGCCGCAGATGCGCCCCCGGAGGCCACCGCGCCCGCCGATTCACCGGCAAAGGAAGAGGCCCAGTCCGCCGCCGCCGCCGCCTCTCCCGGCGGCGAGGCGGGCGCGGCGGGGGAGACGGTGGTCCTGGACGCCTCGGCGGAAGGCGGCGAGGAGGAGGAGGAAGGGGAGTGCGGATTTTGCCTGTTCATGAAGGGCGGCGGGTGCAAGGAGGAGTTCGTGGGGTGGGAGAAGTGCGTGGAGCAGGCGGAGGCGGAAGGCGGCGACGTCGTCGAGCGCTGCCACGACGCCACCGCCGCGCTGCGCAGGTGCATGGACAAGTTCCCGGACTACTACGAGCCCATCCTCCGCGCCGAGCGCGCCATGGCCGAGGATCTCGAGGCCTTCAAGGCCAGCGAAGCCTCCGAGCCCTCCCCTGCCTCGCCGCCGCCCCCGGCGGCGGAGGAGGAACAGGGCGACAATAAGAAGCAGGCGGAGCCGGTGGTGGTGAAGGAGAAGGAGGATCTTGCGGCCTGATCCCGCCGCCTAGGCGTGGGATCTTGTGATTTTTTGGTGAGATTTGAGGCATCCTAGATGTGAATTATTTTGTTTTACCTGGGGCGTGATCTGCAAGATGGGAGAGGGTGGCCTCTCCAAGAAAAATTCGATTCTTTTGGTGGGAATTATACACTGTTCACGAGTTATAGCTCGTGAACTAATATGGAGAAGTGATTTTGTGCTGTAATAATAATCCAATGCATCGATACTGATTTGACACGATTAGCTCTCGTGCTGATCTTATTCTTCAAATTTGTAACGCTGATCATGCGTAGCGAACAATTGACAGGAAGTTCGTCCAGTAATCAGTTTGTCAATCAGTAACTGAGTGAGCACTAATCTCCGTTGTTAGATGCTGGTTTTGTTCATGGTGCTGGAGAGATTTGCCACTCTTATTTGGCTGGGTTTTTTTTGACCCGTTATTTGGCTGGGTTTTTTTTTTGACCCGTTATTTGGCTGGTTTTGGACATTTGTCAGCTAATTTTGAGCAATGTAATGTAAGATTATAGGGGTTGCCATTTAGTGTCTGAATCAGCGGTGCTGAGGCTGTCCATACCGTGTTCTGTTCGGTATATGTTAGTTCCAGCCGGCCTCATTTTGCCTTGCAACAGCAAGAATTTCCTGACATAGTTATAAACATGGGATTCTCAAAGAATGATTTGCTTGGTTATAATTCGCTATTTCATCTACACTGCTGGTGTTACCCTGTGCTATTTCATCTTTGGCTACTTTTGCAAATTTACAGTTGAATTTGAGAATTGCTGCCTGTTTAAAGTACATTTGAATTGAAAGTTTCTGCTGCATTTCTGTATTCTTGGGGACAGATTGTAAGGTTCATTCAGTAGTGGAATAAAGATGTCTTGGCAGTTCAATTTAAACTGCAAAAACGTTTTATTATTTAGAAACAGGGGTACCAGTTCTGCTTACTTGTTGTGACCTGTTTTGTTCGTCGACATGTTGGACGCAGTCCCGTTACAGCCGTCACTTTACCTTGCACGCAAGGATTTTTTCCTCCGATGCAAATTGCTCACATTGCTGAAAATAAAATAATCAATCCTGGCTTTTATACCAGCCAGTGAACTGCTAAAAAACCCGACACAGAGCATATTACTGCAACACAGAAAGTGGCAAACGCAAGTTGAAACAAAATAGAGAAATGTTTTTGGAATGATAGGTTTAGTTTCGGCAACATTTTCCATCCAAACATCATGGATACTTGTAATGTGAGGGAGGGTTACAGAAAGGGGTTCGGGCGCGGCACACAAGCCATCAAAAAACTGAAGCACTAACCTACGACGCTAGTGTTACTGGCAGCAAGATTAACGGCGGGTTTCTGGAACACCCGTATAACCCCCGACCCATCAGCACCATCGTTTCCAACCCTCCATGATCGATCCTTCTTCCTCTGGGGTTTCCGGTGGTGCTTGTGGGATGCTTCTTTCTTCTTCTTCTTTGTGGAACCCTTGGTCATTTGGCCATGCATGTCAAAAGATGCAAGGTCGTTTAGGGCATGACTGATGTTAGGTTCAGCTCGATTAATTTCCTCATCATCTTCATCAGAAGCACCGTCGTCTGATTGATCAGCTGCTGCAGTGCTTGAGCCTTCTAGGTCACTGTTGTCCTCTCCATCAGTTTCATCATCTATCTCACCAGGAGGAAGCTCAAAGTGTGGAATCTTTCCATCAATGTAATCCTTCAGTATCTGCCGAGCAGCCCTGGTCTCATCAGGCAGCCCAGCATGGCTGACATGCCCCCGAGATGTGCAGTACGCCATCAACAACTCAGCAGCGGTTGGTGGTCGAGATGCTTCCTCATATGCCTTGGGCTTTGGCAGGGTGATTTTGTAAACCTGTTCCAGGATGTTTCTCGGCACACGATTTGCCACCACTTGAATTGCTCCCCTGTGCTTTGTCATCCTATCAATTGGCAAGACACCACATGCCACCATCTCATGCCTCGAGCTTGAAAAAGAAGGGAAGACCAGACCAGGACAATCACACAGCATGAGCTCTTCTGAGATTATCAGTGTCTGGAAATGCTTGGTCTTGCCAGGCGTAGATGTTACACCAGTCTTCTTCTCACCAACCAGAGCATTGATGGTTGAACTCTTCCCAACATTTGGATAACCAACAAATCCAACAACCACACGCTTGGGTTGCACCAAGGCAGATTCAGAACTAGATTCAGGTTCCTCTCCAACAGCGGATGTTGCCTTTTGGCTCACAATATACTCCGCTTCGCCCTGCAACCTCACCAGGAGCTCTTCCCGGCCATATATCTTTGTATCAAGATCTGTATCTGATTCTTCCATGGTTTGGCTGCTCAATTTTTTCCCTTCTAACACTGCGGTAGCAGCTTTAGCAGACCAGAATAGATAGAGAATATCATGTTCCTTAAAGTAATCTGCCCATTTCCGCCTGCATTTTTTCCAATTGAGAAAATGTCATGCATCACAGCAGACACCAAAGATAACTGGAAATCAAATGCACCTCCAGAGAGCTACTAACCTGACACTCAGTGGTAAAAGATCAGCCTTGTTTACAAGAAGCAGTGTTCTCTTGTGCTCGTCAATTTCCTGTGCATATTCCTTAATACGTAGGAAAAGATATATATCAGAAGAAAGCAGAAAACTGCAAAAATCCACAATACAATAAAACAAACAGTTCTATAATACAGGGGAAACCTCACAGCTAGTCTCAAATACCACACCTACCTTTCAAACACCTCACATATCAGAAGGCAGTAAAGAATGAAGCATTGATTATGATGTGAATCCTAAAACTGCAGTTTTAGGTTTAAAGAAGAACCAACATTTCAGGGAGAACTGGATTTCAATGCTTCGACAAGATCAGAGAACAAATAATGCAACAACCAGCAGTAGCAACAAGTCAAACTCAAGGTACCGGTCATCTAACACCAATGGGAATTTATCAATAATATAATATAGACAACCATGTAAGTTAAACACAATAGGAAAAAAAATACCGAGTCTAAATTCTAAGTACCTCAAGATCAGGGCAACGGTAGAACAAAGGATTTCGAGAATCGACGACCATCACGAGCTTCAAAAAAGAAGGAAACCAGTCAGTGCTTTCACATAATTTCCTGGAACGTTAGCTCATAATAGGGAAAAGAAGAAGGGCTGATCACAGTCACAAAGGCTCCAATACTACCAAGACAATAAGGTACAATAGTTCAACTTAATAACAGATAAGAACACATAATGTATGCATCACATTAATTCGAATGGGGACATATTAAAACTAGATACAAGGTTGCCAATGATGAGTAGGTGTGCACATGCATTCATGCCCAGGAAAACGACAAGATGCTGAAAAAGATGGAACATTGTACTGGACCTACTGGTAATGTCCAACTGATTGAAAAGTGAGATAAATGGCAAATGAATTCATAGTTAATGTTCATATAAACCTTAGTTGTACCATAGGCTTCTCAAATAGATATACTAACCAAATCGCTGCGTTCAAGTACTCTCCACAGTTGTCTCCAGATATCAAGATTCTTCTCAAAAGGCGTAAGGACAAGTTCTTCATTCTCTTGCAATCTGCAGAACACCTCTTTTATAATGGACTTGTGTACAACAAACAACATACTAACAAACTTAGAATTCACTTAGATGGACTAGATGCTCAGACGTTCTAAAGAGTACTCAGTAACATGTAAACTGCTTCCACTCAAGCTAAAGAAACCAATTAAAAACTTGTCTTTGCTCATATACTGTTCGATTCAAATACTTAAACTAGTACTTTACTTGTAGCACTTTGCATCTTTTCAATGCCCAGAAAGAACGAACCAGCTTCAGAATTTATCACGAAGATTCCAAAGATACCCAAGTTTATGGTTATAGTTGCAGAAAACCTGAGGGTTTATTGCTACAGCACATGAGATGGGTTTTACATTGACGCACCCACATAATTTGAGAAACAAACAACACCGTAGCCAATTACTCCTGAAGTATTTTGTAGACAAGTAGTGTTGTTCAAATTGTCAAAGTGCCAAGGCGGGGAGTTACTTAAGTGGGTTTACCAAAATGATATGAATACAAATCCGGAGATTTCCGACAACTAAGGCCATAGACCTGATGTTTCATGAAATATACTCGATAACATTACTCCAAGGAGGCCCAGCGTGCAAAGGAATAATGTAATTTTTGAACAACGGCACTTCTAGAAACAAAGCAGAGAAGTGCACCAACCTCGCGAGGTTCCTCCGCCACTCCAGGAAAGCCCGCTTCTCGTTGGTGTCGAGCTCCTCGGTTGTCATCTGGGCAGTCCACGGGGGCCTGAAAACATTCCAATTCCGTTCAGCCATGCACGGCTTGTCCCACTAAAGACGACCAAAGAAAAAAGAAAACGACGGTGCCGAGCACTCACCGGCGGGGCACCCTGAGGCTGTCGGCGTGCAGGGCCTCCTGCTCCTCCCGCAGAAGCCGCCTCTCCTCCTCCGTGTCCCCCGTCCCATCCCTGAAACGCAAAATAAACGCAGGCCCCGTGTCAGAGGCAATTCGTCGAACACCTGCGGGCTTCAAAACAGAACCCCCCAGAGGACGGGGCGCTTACAGGTCGATGAGGCCGGAACCGAGCGCGGCGGTCAGGGCGGCGGCGCCCTCCGCGTCGTCGCCGTGGAGGAGCTCCTCCTCGGCGGCCCGCTGGAGGACGGCGTCGATGTCGCTGACCTCGATGACGGACTCGAGCGGCAGCGCCTGCTGCGCGCGGCGGGAGATCACGAGCTGCTGGCCCCTCGCCTTGGCGGCCAAGGCCTGCTTGTTGCGCTGCCGGACAAGCGCTCGCCCCAGCCCCTCGCCGCGGTCTTTCTTCCCGCCGCCGCCGCCGCCTGCCATCTCTACCAGGGAAGGTCACGAGAGAGACGAAGGCAGAAGGGAAAGAGAGTACGTTGCTGTTGCGCTTCGGCGGCGCGAGGGGGGTTGGAGTCGAGCCTAGCGTCCGAGCCGGTGAGCTTCGCAGGCCGTGCTGGAAAACGGCCCAGCTTCTTTTTACTTTTCTTTGTTTGGAAACGGAAATGGCCCAACTCAAAACTTGGTCCGCTCCAATATTTTTAAACACGTTTGCTAAAAAAAAGATATTTTAAAACAATAATCTACTTCAATAATGTTGAAATCAGTAACTAGAGGGTACCCCTTGCAAAGATCACTCTCATGTTTTCTCATGGTGACAAGTGACGCATTGCATGTGCGACGCATGTCACAACCGGGGAGTTTTGTACTTCTTTCATACACTCATTGTATCAAAACGTTTTATCTCTTGAACCATGCGTCCAGAATCATGAACCGTTTTCATCATTATGTTTCTCGCCTCGATACTTTAAAACTAGAATTCATGTTAATAGGCTTGGAAAACTTTTTTTCTAAAAGAAGGACAAAAAACAAAAAACCGGAAACAAAAAATGGAACCCCCAAAGCACAATAAACTAAAAGCGTAACTATGATTTTCACTTTTTGGAGAAGCACATCTGTCTTTTTTCAGTCTTGGGGAGAAGCACACATGCCTTTTTTTTCATTTTTTCGGGAAGCACAAATGTGTTTCACACGGAATAACATATCCGCCTTTCACTTTTCCGGAAGCATAATTGTGCTTCACCGTGAAACACAATTGTGCTTTTCACTTTCGGGGGAGCACAATTGTGCTTTGCCATGAAGTACAACTATATCTTTTCACATGATATGCTTCACACGAGGAAAATAAAACAAACAAATAAATTTCGAGAAAAACTAGGAAACACCAAAAAAAACAACACGTGCAAAAAAAGTTATTGCGGTGCGAACAACGTGCGACACATGGTGGTGGTTGGGCGCACCACGCGTCTACCCTTGGCATGCCTGCTAGGCGGCCCATCTAGTCGGTACCCCCATTAGTCCCCAATAATGTGCACATTATTTTTTTGAGCTTGAAATGGGTTATTCATGGGAGCAAATACTTAACGGGTGCCCAATGCATGGGAGCATTGTCATATTATACATCTCAGTACCACCAGTGTCATGAACCAAGTTGTGGTTGGATGATTAGGAGGACAGTGGTATCCTTAATCCACCAGGGTTCAATTCCTATACTTACACTGGTGCTCCTATTTTCCTGAATTTATTTATTTGTACAATGTTCATAGGGATGAGCGAATCTGCGTACGTCAAAGCACATTTGCTCCTTTGATGATTTTGGTAATTCACGTCAACGTACATATTGTTGGAGTAATGTTTTGCTCAAGTATATTCCAGGATTTTTTTTAACTTAGACAAGTAAGTAGATGGGGATGTGGACCCCTCAAAGCCACGAAGGACATATGTTGGCAAAACTCCAAGACCCTATATTTTTGTTAAGTGATCTAAGATCACGTTGAGTCTATAGGAAATTCATTACTATTAAAAGGGGATGAGGTTTTGATCATGGACTTTTTTGCTCAAGTGCTTAGAGGTATTACTCCAAAAGCCTCAGCCACACCCTCATATTCTTCTCTGTCCAAAACCCTAAAGTCAAACTTAATCCCACTGATACACATCTACCTAGGCTCACCGAGATACACTTGATAGAGCCACTGCCTAAAACCTAGCAACTCGGTCTCACCGAGATGACATTCGGTTCCACCGAAGTGCACGTGCCAACCTTCTATTGCCTATTGATTTCTTCTCGGAATTTCTGAGTGGTTTCAATCGGTCTCACCGAAGTGTAGAAAGTGCTTAGGTCATTACCCATTGGTCTCACCAAAAAGCCTAAAGTTCAAACCTTTTGCAGTAGTCGGTCTCTGTCGGGGGTTTGGTGCGACATATGCCAAAGGATGGCTTATCATGGTGGGGGCGAGTAGAATGTCGCTGGTGCCTGGAAACGGGATGAGGCGAAGACATGCACGCCGGCGAATCTTACGCAGCTTCAGGGCTCTCCGAGGAGATAATACCCCTACTGCTGCTCTGCGGGGTCTCCGCATGATCACTATGGCAAAGCATTTACACGGTTGCTCCTTGAGCTGTTTCTAGGAGGTAGGAGAGGGCAAGGCTAGCTCTCTCCCTTCTATATGATCTGGTCTAGAGCTAATGGGTTCCAACCCTTTGCATGGGTGCCCTGGGGGGTTTATATAGGCCTACCCCCCAGGGGTACAATGGTAATCCGGCTAGACGCGGGCCCAGCCGTCAGCGCCTCTGAACTCCGTCTTCTCTGCCGACCGCTGGGGCCCGCCGGCTGGCGGGCCCCGCTGACTGGCTTGGTACGGAGCCGACAGGCCGCATCCGCCGCGGGCGGGTCTTGCCGGCTGTTGATTACTGTAGCCATGCTTCTGATGACGCGAGCTTGATCATGGGGTCGTGGCAACAGCCCCGCCGCCTGGCGGGCGATCACTATTGCCACTCTCCATCACATCTTGATTAATGGTGCGTGGGCCCCGGGGGAGGGCTCGGCCGACTCCCCCAAGCCGACTTTCGACGGGTCCGACTGGTGGTCCTCTTGCCGTCTCTTGGGGTCTCACCGACTGGTGGGACCCGTTGCCTCTGAGCCGTATAGACAATCCGTCGTGGGTGCAGGATTTGGTCCCGCGGTGCTGATGTCAGGGCCCGCACGGCAACAGTGCCACGCCGCACGGAGATCTTCCGGGGTACGGCATGCTGTGGCCATGCCCGCCCTTGGTAAGGGGCAGGAGTGGGCTTCACTGTAGCCACTCCCCTGCCCCGTCCCCCTTGATGAGGTCACGGGGTTTGTTGGAATCGCGGGCCGACTCCCCAAAGCCGGCTTCTCTGGAAGTCGCCAGTCAGGAGTCGGCTTACCCTGCGGTCGTCCCTGGGACTCGGTCGCGAGTGGTCAGTCGGCCGTCTTGTCGTGGACTTCTTGAAGGCGGCTCTCCGTCCTGGGGTCTTGAGGGGCGCAGCCTGCCCCGATGTCTTGAAAGGTTTTGGGGCTCGGGTTGGCCTACCCGTGGCCCATTACTCCGACAGTAGTCCCCGAAGCTGGTCAGGCGCCGTGAATGATCGGCCGAGAAGCCTTAGTAGTTTCTCTTTCCGGGTGCTCAACACATGGTCTTTGATTGACTTCTGCCGGGTCGACTAGAAGGAGTCGGACTTGCTCAATTCGGACTCACTCAATTCTGACTCGCACAATATTTCGAACGTCGCGGCGGGATCCAAGTAGCATGCTGGCTAAGCCTCCAGGCTGCCGCCCGTTCTAGGCCTGTCATGCGATGACACGTGCCTGGGCCGTCCTGCCAGCCTACGCGAGCGACGGGACAGGCCCATAGGCGGGGCCCGCCACTACCGCGCCTCAGCGCCCGAGGGATCCGCTGCGGCCCCGACGGACGGTTGGGTTCCCGTGGAGTTACTGCGTGCAGTAACTTTATCGTGGAACGTGGGGGTCGTGGGGCCGTGGGCGCAGTAAATCCCCACGTCCGCCCCCTCGGTTTCGCAGCCCACAGGGCTATAAGTAGGGGGAAGAGGGGGGCACGCGCGCCCCTTCTTCCCACCACTCCTCACTTTCTTCCTTCTCACTGCTCCTCGCTCTCCTCCTTCTTCTTCTTCTTCGCTCCGCCGCGCTCCCAAGCTCCGGCGAACGCCGTGGCGATCAGCTCGCGATGAGTTCTTCCTCCGCCGCCGCGCCTCCCCCGGTGCGCTCCGGCACTTGGAACGGCTCCGAAGTTCACGACGACCACATCGAGTTCCTTCGCCGGACTCGTCGGCTTCCCCGCGAGGATCACGTGCGGGTGCGGCTTGCGCCGAAGGGGGAGATTTCCCCCGCGCCGCAGGAGGGCGAGCGGGTCATCTTCCGCTCACACTGTTTGCACGGGTTGGGGCTGCCGGCGAGCATTTTCTTCCGATCTTTCCTGGAGTTCTACGGCCTCCGGCCGCACCACCTCACCCCCAACACAGTGGTGCTGCTGTCCGCCTTCGTGGCCTTGTGCGAAGGCTTCCTCGGAGTCCTCCCCACCCTCGAGCTCTGGGGGGAGTTCTTCTTCTCCAAGCTCGGCACCCAGGCCGCGGGCGTGCCGGCTCAGTGCGGCGCTTTCATCGCCGTGCGAAGGTCGGGGGCCGACAATCCCTTCCCCTCCATCTCGCTGATAAAGTCGGTGAAGATGTGGCAGAGATCCTACTTTTATGTCAGGAGCGTCTCCGCGAGGGGGGACTGGGTCAACCTGCCGGCTTTCGAAGCCGGCCCGCCGGCTGGGCGACTGCCCAACTGGTCGTACCGGGCCAAGTCGCTGACGCCTGCGGGAGCCGGTGCCATCGCGCGACTCCGAGTGCTGACGCAGTCGAGGGTTTGACTGGTCCAGACCTGCTGGCCGCCTTCATGGCGCACCGAGTTCTCCCACTCCAAGGCCGCCCCCACATGATATGCCAGATGAGCGGGCACCGCGACCCGAGTCGGATGTGCACCAAGGACATGCCTCACGAAGAGGTGGCCTTCATGGTGAACTACCTCTCGGATAGCAAGCTCCTGGAGGATTGGCGGTTCGGCAAGGAGCCGTACTCCCGTCCCAACCCTCCGCCCGTGGTGAGTTGCCTGTCTTTTCTTTCTTTGGATTGTCTTCTCTCTCGCCGGGTTTGTTTTGACCAGTCGGCTTTGGTCAGAATCCCCTCCTCCACCCGCCAGTCGGCACCTCGGGGCTAGCCCGCGAGTTCCTCGCCGACCGGGCGAAGAGCGATGTCGACGACCCCGATCTGGGGGTGGCGGCTCTGGAGGACGACGCCGAGGGAGAAGGAGGAGCAGCAGGCGACTTCAGGCCTTCGGCCACTTTCGCCGACTGGCCTGATGACGTCGTTGAGGGGGAAGTCGCCCCCCGCCATCGGCCAGGAGCTAGCCAGCCTGGTGCGGGCTCTTCTGCCGCGTCGGGTGCTCCAGGCGGCGGGAAGAAGCG